TCACACGGAAGGGAAGGGCCCCCCCCCCCCCCCCCCCCCCATCAGATTCAGTGTTAACGTGTGTGTAGTATCAGTGGTGATGAGTGTGCGCGGCTCCAGCGGTTCATTCATCACGAGGATCATCAGCTCATTACCGACCGTTCAGATGAGCTACTACGTCTCTGAATTGATACTTCCTGCCTGTCACTTCAATGGTGTTGGAAATAGGAGTGGACGTGTGTCTGAGAGGCGGGGTGTGACACCCCCCTTGACCCCCCCCCCCCCCTGACGTCTGAACCCCCTGTATAGTCACAGAAGTGGTCAAATGTCGGGCTGGAGCGAATCAGTGACGAGATTCAGAAAAAAGACAGGGCCCACGTTGACAAACAGCTGCGGTCGTTGCCAAAAAAGTATTGGGTGTCCAGTAACTGCCCTGCCAAAATACATATTTGACTGACTACAGCCAGAGCGAGCTCGCACTCCAGCTTGGCGTTCAGTGTGGTTCGGACGCTCTGATCCTTTCATCCAGTTTCTTTTGTTTTTGAGTTCTGTGCGGACACCGACACTAAGCAGCCATGGATGCCATCAAGAAGAAGATGCAGATGCTCAAGCTCGACAAGGAGAACGCCTTGGATAGAGCTGAGCAGGCCGAGTCAGACAAGAAGGCAGCTGAGGACAGGAGCAAACAGGTCGGCACCGCTCCTGCGCTTTTACGCACGGTGCCAATGGCACAGTGCGCTGCGTCCTGCCTGCATGTCCAGTGTGTTCTCACTGAGGAGCCACATGTTTGTCATCGTTTAAATTTAGCTTTGCTTAAATAATTCATCAACAACCACAAATGACATTCACTGTCCGAAAAAAGAGTCTAACAATAGCCTTAAATTAATATTTTAATATAATACTGAAGATCCATAGACGTGTTATTATTTGAGTATTATTACATATAGATATAATAACATTATTTTTCACATATTTTCCAGTTGTTAAATGTACACACTGATGTTGGTGTCGACTTTGTCTTGTTCATACGACTCTCCTGTGGTTTCTCCTGTGGCCCAGCTTGAGGATGACCTGGTGGCACTGCAGAAGAAACTGAAGGCAACTGAGGATGAGTTGGACAAGTACTCTGAGGCCCTGAAGGATGCCCAGGAGAAACTGGAGCTGGCTGAGAAGAAAGCCACAGACGTGAGTTAGTGGGTGTCCCAGTGGTTCCGTCCCAGTGACCAGCCCTGGACCTTACTTGGACTTTTGGGTTATGTAATGATCAATTGTTGGAGGTCTGAGGGTTGTCTGTGACAAACCTAAAGATGGTTAAATTTAGCTCTTGCACTGTATATGGTAAGGTCACAGCTCAGAGGTCTAACAGTGCATTCCATGGCCATTTGGATGAATCTGACGACCAGTGTAGGATTTCAGTCCCACACATTTTGGGCTTCAAAAACCTCCGACAGACTCCTGGTCAAACATTGACTGAACTATTTATGCTCAGTTGTTGAGTCACGTCCAGGAAAAAAATGATGTCAAGAACAACGAACCACAGTTATGACAATATACAGTATATAACGTAATTTGGGGATTTTATTTTTATTTTTCAGGAGTGATTAAACAGCAGATCAATTTTGGAGATAAGTGATCAATTAATTGATCTATAAAATGCAGATGCTACTAATCTGTGTATATATTAAAATAATGTTTACAAAACAAAATACTATTTATTTAATTTAATAATACTATTATTATTACATTACATTATTATTAACATTATTATTAATAATACACTTTGCTTCCATCATTCAAAGTGTGGCCCTGTCGTTAGGAGCTGACTTTGATAACGATGAGCTCAATCGACCAGCAGGGGACGCTCTCCCGCCACATTCCGTAGACAACCGTGTAAGCGAATTAAATATCAATATTTGGCGGTAAATTATTTGCCATAGCGGTCAGAATAAATCCTTTACAAAAACAATTTGAAAAACAAATTTCCAGATTATTTTCCTGGCATATAAAAGGACGAACTTCCGGGTTGGATGGCACGTCCCAATCCTCATCAGCGGTTGATTAAAGCGGTGGGGGCAGGGATCAAACGCGGCGCATCTCCAACGGTCCTGTTCCTGTGTGTGTGTTGGTGTGTGTGTGTGTCTGTTGGCTTAGCCCACACACAGTAGCAGCAGCAGCAGTAGCAGCAGCAGCAGCATCAGCAGCAGAACACCGAGGAAACAAGCTTAGCCGGGACAGAGTAGAGCAGCAGGAAAGATGGCCGGACCGTCCGTGGAAGCTGTGAAAAAGAAAATCAAGTCTCTGCAGGATAAGGCCGATGACGCGGAGGACCGGGCGGCGTCGCTGCAGCGGGATCTGAACCAGGAGAGGCGGGCGAGGGAGGCTGTAAGCTGATGCTAATGATTAAAAAGCCAATTAACGGCGTGGCTGCCGTCGGCATTAGGGAGTAAATCCGGTCAAAACGGCGTGGCTGCGGCCGCGGGGCTGACAGCTCGTCGTAGACGTCAGGTGGATGTGTTTGAAATGTAGGATGTTGAGAGAGAGAGAGAGGGAGGAACAGGGAGAGGAGAGGACACCGCCCGGTGCAACCTGAATAAACAACCCGCCCTGAGTGAATGAGTCAGGCTAACACTACAGCAGCAGGTTCCATCACAACCAGAGACTTAGCTCCTCCACAAAAAAGGGACATTTCTTTATTTTTCATCTACTGAACAATGAAGTGACGCTGTGTTCGGTTGATAATGTTTGTTTGTTTGTTTGTTTTTTACATCCGTATCACCGTGAGTAGGGGCTGCTCCGAGAGCCGACTGTTAAATTTCCCCTGAGAAAACAGTGTTAACGTGTGGTTGGAGATGAAGATGTGACACAATTGAAGGAACATTTAGTTTAACATAAACAAAATGAAGGCTGTTTAAGATTTCAAGGTTGATCTTTTAAGTTTAAACATATTTCGGAGGTAAGAAGTTCCCCCTTCAGACATTTAGTGGGTTTTTTTTAGCTGTTTTTCTCCTTTGTGCCATTTGACTGATTTAAAAGGTGTCAAATATTTGGTCGTTTTCTGGTTTTACTGTGAGATGATTTGAGTGTTTGACAAACTGCTCCAGATAAAAGAAGAAAAATTAGCATTTTCAGACATTTAGTTGATTAAAACTTTACTGTTATGTTAGTGACTGCGTGTTAGGAAAAACAAGAAGATAAATAAATTTTGTTACATTGTTCAACTCCTACAGCTTCATCATTTCCACGGTTGCAGTAGAGCTTTGAATTCCATGAGTTATTGGATGAGGGTGGGGTTCATCCAGGACAATTTGCACAGTCAAACTAATAAACCTGTCCTCTTCTTCCAAAAGTGTGACCATCTAGGTAGTAGTTTGTGCTAATTGTTGGCCTTGTTTTAAGAAACCTCCCTGCAAAAGTCTCTGATGGACCGGACGTTGCAGACTTGTTAAATTTGCTGAGTCATGTACAATTAAATCAGTTTGACTTGTCCTCTCTGTGGTTTTATGTTCTCCTAGGCTGAGGGCGATGTGGCCTCCCTGAACAGACGTATTCAGCTGGTTGAGGAAGAGTTGGACCGTGCTCAGGAGCGTCTGGCCACAGCTCTGACCAAGCTGGAGGAGGCTGAGAAGGCTGCAGATGAGAGCGAGAGGTGAGTGTCTGAGAGTCAGAGCTAAGTCTGTCTGTCTGTCATCTGATGCATTGTTTTTACAATACTACTACTACATGTACTGACCTACTATGACACTGACACACTGTACAATTGTCCCCCTCCTTCAGAGGCATGAAGGTTATTGAGAACAGAGCCATGAAGGATGAGGAGAAGATGGAACTGCAGGAGATCCAGTTGAAGGAGGCCAAACACATTGCTGAGGAGGCTGACCGCAAATATGAGGAGGCAAGTGGTTCAGCTCTGGGGTTTTTTTTTTCTACACAGTTGCACCCAGGTGTCACAGCTGACTCTGTGCTGTGATTGGCCACCACAGAGATTAGTCAAAAACACAGTGTAGCTCAATGAAGATAGAAGTGTGGAACCGTAATGGTTGCATCTTGTGTGACTTCAGGTGGCCCGTAAGTTGGTGATCATTGAGAGCGACTTAGAACGTACAGAGGAGCGCGCTGAGCTGTCTGAGAGGTAAGAGTTTTTTTATTTAATTTTATTTATTTGTTTTCCTATTGTGAACATGCCTAACTGCTCTGTTAAACCACAGCAAATGCTCTGAACTTGAGGAGGAGCTGAAGACCGTGCAGAACAACCTGAAGTCTCTGGAGGCCCAGGCAGAGAAGGTGAGCGACTGACGTGGGAGTTACATCAGGGCGTTCAGATCATCCGTGTGTGACTGTGTCCTCTGACGCTGTCCTTTTTGTATGTAACCACAGTACTCACAGAAGGAGGACAAGTACGAGGAGGAGATCAAGGTGCTCACAGACAAGCTGAAGGAGGTGAGTTGACCTGAAGTTGACCATAGTTAATGCAAACCTGGGGGTCAGAGTTCTGAGACGTGTCTCCAACATTTCATTTATATCTTTATTATTAGTTGAGCTTTTATTTAAACAACTAAAAAAAACTAAAACATGTCCTAAAACGTGTCCCTGCTTTCAGGCTGAGACCCGTGCTGAGTTTGCTGAGAGATCAGTGGCCAAGCTGGAGAAGACCATCGATGACCTTGAGGGTAAAATATGTTTTTTCTCTTCAGTCCTTCAGCCACAGTTCCAGTGGAACATTAGTTTTGTTCAGTCTCTACCAAATAACCAATGTGTCCAGTGCAGTTGATGAAAGTTTTTTCACCAAATTGATCAGATGACACTTCAGATTCAGAGTGAGTGTAGGGACATTAATCTGGCCAGATTAATCTGGTTAATCTGGACACCTGCACTGTCACTTTCCTACTTCAGTAAGGGGGGAAAAAAAAACCAAGCGGCCAAGTTGAGGCCAGCACGATATTATTTATGTGAGCTAGAACATTTCTCACGACAGTGCTGTTAGGCATTCTGCTGTAGTGACAGTTCAAGGCCAGCCCGTCGCCACTCACCCTCACAGGGTCATGGAACGTGTGAAGCCGTTTCTCTGTGACTCCTCAAGAATCTGACACAGCATCAGCAGCTGTTCCAGCTCCCTCCCTATTTCTGTCCTGCTCCTTTTTTTTTCCCCTTTCCAGTTTTCTTCATTTGTGTTTTCCTTTGACTTCTGTTCTCATGACTCTTGTGTTGTTGTTTTTTTTCTTTTGTCTCTCGGTTGAGTTTCAATCCTTCATCACCACGTCATTAAAAATCAACACTAAATAGATGAGCTGTATGCCCAGAAACTGAAGTACAAGGCCATCAGCGAGGAGTTGGACCACGCCCTCAACGACATGACCTCCATGTAATTCACCCCAAAGACTTGTCTTGCTCCCTGCCTCAGATGTAGATCCACTTAGCAACACTAACACTAACAATAGCTCCCTCCAGTGGCATGTTTGGATGCAGTGGTTTTCACATTACTCAATGAATAGGATTCTAGGTTTCTGAACTCATTGTTTTGCATGGATTTTACAGAAATTAATTTATAAGTCTCTAGTTATATTTCCAGTTCCATTTTTTTAAAATATAATTTTGCAAATCTTTTCTAGCCTACACCTGCTTTTCCTTGTTTTGTGCATGACATTTATCTTGCACTCCTTCTTTGGTTTCTCCTCCAACACTTTTTGTTTTTGTCCTTCTCTTCTCCACAGCTAAAACATTTCACCCTTCACTCCAGAAGTTGGCTCAGTGTCCTCATCTCTCCATTGTGCAGTGCAGCCCAACTCTTTGTCTTCTCTCTGTCTCTGTTTTTTTTCCCCTTTACTGTCCTTTCTCTTCTGTACAGTGGGCTGTCACTGCCATCATCCATGTGTCCACATCTTAAACAGACCCTTGAGCCATAAAATAAACATTCTTCCATCCATGTCAGCCCAACCGTCTTCTCCTCTGATGTTTCTTCATTTCCATTTTTTCCTTTCTCTTACTTTTTTGACTGTTGTGTCTTCTGTCTGTTTAATTTATTTTGTTGAGTAGCTTTTGAATAAACTCTGAAGCTCCTCTTCCATTCCCTGCTCCTTCTTCTCTTTGAGAGGACTACTTCTTGATAAAAAGTCCATATTAATATTTCAAAGGTTGAGTTGGCGGTAATGTTTTGGTAGGTTGGTGAAGAGGCTTTTCCTCCTCCTGTAGGTAAACATGTGAATGCAGTTAGAATAATCTTGTCCATTAAATCAGGGTTCACCCGTAGTCTTTGGAAAAAGTCTAGTTACAAAAGTCGCGTGACCATGACCATATACTAAAACTACAAATAGTCATACAAATAAAATGAAAACAAGTGCATAACACAAAACGTAGATTTAAATATTTTGTTCAAATAAGCAAAACGCCATGTACCTTAAGAACAGGGGAAGGCAAACTCTGGCTCACAGGCCAAAATGAGGTTCTAAATTTGGCTGGCGGGCCTGTAAAAAATTAAACCTTTTGGACATTTGATGTATGTCGCCATCTAGTGGCATTAGGTGTAATTACAGTGGCTTCATGTCTTTACCATACATACCATACCAGTGTTTGGGGTATAAAGTAAATGTATTAGTCCAGTGATTCCCAACCATTTTCTAATCTCACCTAATTGGTTTGAAAACCTTTTTTTTATTTACTGTAAATAACTGATTTGGCGACAGTGCAACAGTGACAGCCTGAAGAATTAAATACTCTTCCACTAGGTGGCAGCAGATGACTATAAAAACTTTTAAAAAGGAGCATGACTTAAAGCTGTTAATGATCTTTGTGTTTCTTTCTTTAATTCCTATGAGCATGTCAAGGTTGTGTTCAACTGAACAGGCCGGACTTTAATACTAAATAAGTAACGCTGTGGGATTTTTGTGACTCAAAAACGTTGGGAAACACTGTATTAGTTGGTGCTAATTTGTTATGGTTGAACAGTTTGAGTGACACTTCAATTTTCCGAACTTCACCACAGCACTAACCCTTTGTTGTGTGCACTAACCTGCCTTCTGTGTCTTTTCCCTTTCTCTTACCTGCTTTCTGACTGTCCAGACCATCTTTACAAGCAGCTTGAGAAAAACCGCCTTCTGTCCAATGAACTGAGAGTAGCCTTAAACGAGGCCTAGAGCGGACTGGGCTGGTGTATGCATTAACCTCTGTTGAAACCCGTACATTCAGGCAGATCGTGTATTGCCGTTACACTGCATACAGAAGCACAGACAATTTACGTGCGTGACACTAAACCAACACTAAGCATTTATGTTGACAAAGAGGAAAACAAACAAGAATTCCACATATGCATGGTTAAACTGCAGACTGAGAGGTTGGACTACCTCAAGTTATGACCTTTACTGGGTGAATATTTTCCCAGTCACTGTCGGGGCTGTAGCACTGGACTCTGCATGTTCTGTTGTTTGGTGTGAAGTAGTAATGCAGTGAGTCATTTCCATTTAATTTTTATCTTATTCTATTTGTTGTCTGGTCAGTTACAGGCTGGAATATGTTAACTTAAAACATTAAAGACAATCGTGTTTAAGATAAAACATTAACTTACATTTTAAGAAAAAAAATAGAATATAGTTGAGATTTTCTTTTTTACTGATTTAGTGAATCGTCATTTTATCCACTAGTCATTGCTGATAAAGTGAAAATGTCAAAAAATGTTGGTTTTTTTTTTTATAAATGTCAAAAAATGTTGGGTTTTTTTTACATTGAAAAGACAGAATTAAAAAGTGTCCTTATCCTTATAATGAAAACCAAATTAGACTTGTTTTGTTTTTTTGAAGGTAAGTTGCATTTGAACTTCAGCATCCTGTTTTTTTAAGTCTTTATGTTAGAGAGTAAACTTTGCTGCAAAATCCATTTTGCATCACACCCCCAGCAACATCAGTGAACGTTTGTCTGTTGTTTCTCATCACATTGTCAATCCTTTTAAATGAACACTTTCAAAACAAGATGAAATTTGCTGACCCGTGTGGACATAGAGCTTTGTTTTTGTCGTTCGTTTTTTTATAATTCACCAACTGATGGGTCGACTGGGTGAAAGATTTGTTCAGCCTGTATCTCAGGATGGCTAAGTGACCGTGACATTAAACTTGTTTGTGTAGATGGGTTGTTGAGTAACACAGTGACTACAGCCCTGACTATAGACTGAGCATAATGTTCTAATTATAATCAATAGATTGGTTGGTTTTGTTGCTTTGGTTCATTGTCTGATGTGAGTTTGTTTGTCTAGTTGTTTACTGAACACTAACTTGTAGAGGACACAAAATCACGACTGAAATCCCTTGATGTTTGCAACAGTATATTTAGACATTACTAACACTGTTAGACTAACTGGATTAGAGAAAGGCTGAAATAATCTGTGCATTTCTGCAAGTTCCTGTTGATGTGAATAACTGACGCACTGCTGTATTAACAGATAAACTCAAAAGTGCTAAAGAAGAAAACCGGAACAAAAAACTGCTGCTGGATCAGACTCTAAAGGAGATATTTAACCTATAACCCAACTGTGTTTCACTCCACACATTGCCTCGTCTGCTCTGAATATGGCTGCTCCAGTTTATGTGTAATATTGTTTCTGTGTTTCCTGACCTTCATCACCCTGAAGCTCCAGATTAGGTAGCACAGCTTCTGAAGCTGCAGTCCAACTACACTGTTTTGTTCCATGTGCTGACATTAAGATGTCATGTCAAAAAGATTTCCCATGTGGAGACTTGCACTGCACATATCCATCATGAACAAAGCCATACATTGAGCTGATGGGTTCCATGAAAAGGGATTTTTTTATTATGCATTCTGTAAAAAGAAATATGTCCATCATGTATTTTTTTTCTTTTTTTGTATTGTGAACCTGTTCAGTGACACTGATGTTAAATTAAATTAGTCCAACAGAGACCGATTAAAAAGAAATGTCCTCTGTATTCACTGTACATGTTTAGACAACACTTCATTTCACATTTTTTCCCATTTTATCTTGGAAATGTAAAATCATAAATAAATGTTTCAAATATAATTTACTACCATCTGTGACCTCCGTTTCTGTTTTCATTAGTAAAGCTTTGTGGCTGGTGTTAAGATTGACTAATTGTTTTCCAAAAGTATTTTACTTGAACCAAGACAATACTGTGATGTAATCCGCTCAAAAGTAACGTTTAAAAAAGGTTAAGTAAAAATAAATTACTTTAATTAATGTAGTTTTAGGCATCGTTAATACAAATTGTGAGTTTCAGACGTTCTCTCGTCATTAAAGCACTTGGCCCAATTTGAAGACGAAGAAATGGCTGCCTATGTGTACCTCCGGGCCACTGGGGGCGCTGTGAAACATTCAGGAACCTCGGAAGCTGCGGACAGGCGGAGGTGAAAGGTTGTATCTGAGCGGTGGTGTAGCAGAAGTTTGACGACCAGAGGGGAACATGGAGGAAAATGAAGATTTTAATACTTGTTTTCCGGACAGCAAAGCCGCTTATGTGCTAAGTAATGTGGCGGAAGTGGTTGAACGAATTCTGAATTTCTTACCGACCAAGTCTCTACTCCGTATCGCAAGGTAACAAACTGGTAAACAGTAAACTTGGCTAAAGCTAACTGTTGTCCTGTGGAAATGTATCAAACTTTAGGTCATATACTGAATAGTTAGGAAGCTACTAAGTCACTGTGTCTGTTGTTCTTCACGTTTGCATTTACTGTGTCACGTTTTAGTATGTATTGTAGTTTGACTGAAATGTGAACCGAGTGAACTGAGTCAGGCTTTTGGTAGGTTAGCAGGTGAAACCCTAAAAATATGAACTGAACTTTATTTGTGTGTGTGTGCAGTGTTTGCCGGTTGTGGAGAAACTGTGCCCGGAGAGTGCTGAGGACGCAGCAGCATCTGACCTGGGTTTCGGCCTGTGGACCGTCCAACTCCGAGGTCCATACTCTGTGCAGTATCTTGGCTGAAGAAGTGGAGGTAAATAACACTACGGGCGTTTCCCCCTACTGTTTTAGTCTGGGAACTGCAGAATAAGCTGGTCAACGCATTTGTGTCAGGAATTTCTTAATGAGAGAAATGTTTGGCTCATTGAATTAAAAAAAATGTTTTGGGAATTGCTTTGCTCAATTTTGATTGATTTGTTTTGATAATCGATTGACATAGAAAATACACTAAACATTTTAGACAACAAAATCTTGTTGGAATTTATTTATTGTTTTATTTTTAATTTTGCTTAGCTGCGGTTTGTCTTTATTTATTGCCAGTTATTATTATAATTATTGGCAATAAACGATAATATTGACAACAGTTTAATTAATTTATATTTATTGCCAATTATTATTATAATTATTGGCAATAAATGATAATATTGACAACAGTTTAATTAATTTTCATTTATTGGAAAATGTATGATTATTGACTCTTCACTTAGATAAAACAAGATACAATGCCATCGTTTTATAATTTTACATTGATCCTAATAATGATTGTATGTTTGCTATAACATGTGATCATTGTTTATATTTACAGAAAGTATTTCTCCTACCCAAAACGGTTTTGGCCATGGTAGACTCAGAGGCTTTCAGTGGACAGGCTTACTGCTACAGACAGAGTAAAGGTTTGTACTTGTGTCACACTTTGCTTGAACTACTTTTTTTGTGCAATTTTTATCCAATTTTAAAAACAAAACATTCAATAAAATATATTAAATCTTCTTGCATTAGTTTTTTTTTTAAATCACGTTTTTCCAAACCTTTAGATTGTTTTCCTACATAGACTGTAACATCTGCGTACATTTATAAGCTGAGTCCCAATGTAATAATAAAGAAACTATGTTTTTCTTATACTAGTATCCTCATTTTTTTGTCATGTTTTGGTGAGTTTTATGTTTAATTCTCGACAGAAATGGCTTTTCTTACTCACATTGTTGTATTTACCTTCTGTGTAGCAAAGAAGAGTCGTCACAGTCCAGACACGGTTGAAGAATTGAACCTGCTCTTTCCCAAAGGCTGTGACATAATGGGCATTGCTACACCAGGAATAGTCTGTAAGTGCTTTTGTGTTTTTTCTTCTCTCTAATCTAAGGGTTTGCAGCAAACTCCTGCATTTGTCTCTGCTACATAACTGAATAAAATAACTACATAAAATAAATTAAGAGGCTTTTTTATGTTGTGATTAAAAAATATATGTTAAATTTGAAATTATATGTTCTATTGATTGAATGTAAGCAACTAAATAACTAAAGAGAGAGTGATTTGATCAGAGCAGTGTCCAATCTGTGGGCGCACCCTGGTGGACGGGGGTCAAAATCTTTCTGAGTGAGGAGCTTTTGACCTTATAAAATGAACTAACCAAAATTAAAATGATGTTTAAATATTCAGCTCACAGAAAGGTGTATACTAAACAAAATACATATTTATACATTTTGCTTTGTAAATGGTACGGTTCAGCCTGTAGCACCAAAGATTGTGCATCCATCCTCACTGCTGCTGCAGATTTGAGGAGCACCACTGGTGGCTGCTACTTCCTTTCCCTCTGCCTCTGATGGATTGCCTCGTCTCTCTGTTGCAACGCTCCCCATTTCTCTACATAATCACAACCCCGCGGAGCAGCCACTCTCCGTCAGCCCCACTCTCGTTCTTCAACATGATGGCTTATCAAGCTCCCATCGTCATTCAGCTTTAATGACAGCGGTGGCGTTTTCTGATAACACTCATTTTGTGATATTGCAGTGTAGGGTCATCCCTGGGTCACCCGTGTCTAATTCGATTGAATCAAGTCTTTGATTGGATTGGCCTGGACCAGTAGATTTCTCACAGTTGTTTGCCAAATAGGAGGATGGCTAATCATCTGTGCATGTTTGTTGTGCACAGCACAGTATTAAAAACGCTGAGTAATGATACACCCAGGAGTAGTATTTCAGCGTAATATTCTAATGTGATTGAATATTGTTTTATACTGTGTTGTAAAAGTTGCTTGCTACATTCATATCAAATGCCAGGCTGCACTAAAACAATAATTTTAATTATAACAGTGAGCACTACAGCAATCATCTTAGTAAATATTTGTATATTTTTCTAATAAACTTGAACTGCCTTTATTGTAGTTGTATTTGATAACAGTGAAGGGCAGTTGTGCTGTCGATGTATTATCATGTATTTTTACTAATCTTTACTACTTTAGTAGTAGTAAAAAAAATCAGCTACTATCAAAACCATACTGATGAAGGTGGTAATATTTAAATTCTTAAAACTGCAATATCGTATTGACCACTAGTGGCTGCCTGATGAGGTTGTCTTTGTGACTGATACTGTACTCACTTTTTCTGTTACAAAGACTGATACTGTACTCACTTTTTCTGTTGTTTGACTTTCTTTCAGCTGTTTGTGCTCATATTCCATATGATAAGAAATGTATTTAATTTTTAAATTAAATGTTGTTGTGCTTCTTCTTTTGTAATAGTGACCACGTGTTTGGACTTTATATAATATATATCTGGTTAAATTCTCTTTGTAAAAATCCTTAATTTTTTTCTCCTCTTTGTTTTTTCCCAGTGACTCCCAGTGGCTCCTCCTCCTCCACTCCTCCTCAGGAGCACCAGGAAGGTGAGGCTGGCTTTGCAATAATGTTCCCTAAGATGGAAGGCGTCCAAATCAGACCTTTTCACTTTTGCAAAAAGTCCATTTCTCCAGCTGCTCTGAAAGAAGCAGGTGAGTGAACAGAACTCTTCACTGATCTTTTCTTCCTAGTGTGTGTAGTTTTTAATCCGTTCGTTTTTTTTTTCTTTCTTGTCTTCACCAGATTTTTAATCTGTTCGTTTTTTTTTTTTTCTTTCTTGTCTTCACCAGGACTAACAGACAACCCAGAGCTGCGTGTTGTTCTGATGTTTGTGTACGAGGCGTATAAACCTGGAGGAGAACGTTTTCTCAACCAACTGCTGGAGCTGCTCGGCAAGAGTAAAGCTCTCATCGCTGGAGGAATAGTAGAAAGTGTCTTTTCTCCTCCCAAAACCTGGTAAGTCCATGTTGCTTCACCTCAACTTTTAATAGACCCAAATATGATGAGAAATTATACTGTAAACACACGTGCACGTCCGTATGATGACTATGGGTAGAATGCTCGCTGGCAGAAACAGTGTGAGGCTTTGGGGAATATTTTACCTACTTTGACACATATCACCAACGAAACCATTATTACAGAGAATTTTCCCCCAATGACGATGCAGGATAATGCACCCAGCTACAAAGTAAAGAGGTTTGATGAATGATTTGATGAACACAAGTCAAACGTTTGTGAAGGACAAGACCACATGACATTATAGGATCTCTTTCTAAAGTCTTGGTGCCAAATACTACCACACACTTTCAGGTCCAACTGAGTCCATTACTGAAGCGGTCAGAGTGGACCTGTACAATACCAGGGCAGGTAGTCACAATCTTCTGGCCCATTGGTGGATTTAACGACTGTGTAAACTGTTTTAGGCCAGTGTTTTCACTGACTGTCACTTCTGATATTCAAAATGGAAATGTAAATAATACATGTCTCTCTACAGCTGTGGCCAGGGTGCCTACGGTGTGGTGGGCCTGGCCCTGAGTGGTCCAAAGGTGCAGGGAGCATCTGTGCTCCTAGACCAGGACGTCACCAGTCCAAAGGCAGCTGAAGCCACGATCCGACGGTTAAAGGCGGCTAAGATCCCAGAGAGGAACACTCTGGGCTTCATGTTTGCCTGCGTGGGGAGAGGTCAGAATTACTACAACAACCAGTCCAATGTGGAGGCCGACGCCTTTCACAAGGTCTTCCCCAGCATGCCGCTCTTTGGCCTGTTCGGCAACGGGGAGATCGGCTGCGATCGCATCATCAAAGACGACTACACGCTGTGTGATGCTGACACGGACAGCCTGCAGCACGAGTACACCACCGTCATGACCCTGGTCCATCTAGGTTGACTGATCCGCCCTCAGCCCCGCAGAGACGAGGGACCAACTGTAGGATCGATCACCTGACGCTGTTCCTGTTTGTCACAGCAGCCGTGAACGACCAACATTATGTAGAAAATGTTACTGCCATAGTGACTAAAAATAACAGCCCTTCATTCCCGCTGATACAGCAGGAAATTACCCTTCAGCCTTTAATGCATTGGCAACTTTAGGGAAACGATTCTCCCACGAGACCGTGAGTGAGTGAACACAGTTTGATGTTAAAATTAGTGGCTTTCACACATGGATCCCAAAAAAAAATCTAGCTCATCATTCAGCTAATTCAGCTTAACATTCAGCTGGTATTAGGCTATATTAGTAGTACTCTTGTAAGATACAATGTACATATATATTTTGTTTTTTTTTTATGGCATATCTTTCTTCAACCTCATGGTTTGATTGCTTTGCAAGTGAGTAAATATTATACACACTCGAGTATCCCAAGTTGTTGTTAGAATTGTTGATTCAACCAAGGCACTTTTAACTCATGTGAGTCTGTGGAGCATGCCCCCCCCCCCCCCCTCCCCCCAAGTCAAGGTAACATCCATCTGAATGCTCTTCCTGCTCCTCCTTTCAGTTTTTGTACTTTTGTTCTTGCAGGATAGAACTGTTTCCACACCCTCTCACCTTCTGCTCACTGTTTTTCTGTGGATTATTTTTAATCCCTGTGAGGCCAGAGCTCCTGCTTTTATAGGGTATAATCTCTAATTAAATTGTGGAATTGATCTTAGTGGAACATAAGAATGGTTAAAAAAAAAGGATCACATCTGTTGATGGCCTCAACAATGAACTCTATTCCCTAAAAAGATCTAGTATCATCAAACAGCTGACTTGAATACAAGGTATAACTTATTAGATGCAAAAAAATTTTTTTTGCAGTTTCTTCCTCTGGATTTTGTAGATAAATTGTTTTTGTCACAACGATCCTAATGTTGACTGGTTCATGTCAGTCATTACAGCCCCTGCAGCAAGTGTTAAAATATTTATTGGCAAGAAAAAAACAGTGTTTCCCTGATGATTGTTACAGAGTAAAGACATTACGAGGAGGCGATATGTTAAAAATAACTATGATGTGGTCAACTGATATTCTAGAATGATGATTGGTTCGTTTTAACAGATGTAATCTGCAGAACTGGGACCACTCAGTAGCACGTTTAAAAAGCTCTCCAAATATCCTGATGCCTTCATCACAGGTAGAAAAAATAACTTGTGTTTTGATTTGTTTTAACTCCAAAATAATTGGAATAGAAATCACTGCTTCCTGCAAATATCTGTTCAA